GTGGGTGCGATCAGACGGCCCAGATCAATCGCGCGATCGGACGCCTCCCCATCCCCCTTCCACGTCATTGTCCTCATTCAGTCAACAATGAGCGTCTCTGATTATCATTATAAGATCTGGTAATATCAACAGGCAAGGTGTTATAAATTGGAACCCCACACCAGACCACAAACCCTAGCCGCCAGCCGCTCGCCGGAGAAGACAAACCAGAGGCCGACCGCCGCCACCCGCCGCCACTCGCCGCCGCACCGGGGAAATTTCCGACCGCCGATCGAGGTAAATTTCATACCCCCGACTCGTTTTTCCCCACTGATTCCTCCTATGGCCAAATCGAAGCCGAAATCCCGGCCAAACGGCCGGAATACGCGGCCGAAGCCCAGCGGCGCCGCCGCGCCCCCTCTCGATTTTTGCCTCCGACGAGGCCCTTCCCGGCCTCCGTTCGATGCAATTTTTATATCACCGTGATCACCATTCTTTTCTATACAGGTTGACCGAAGCCAAATCACCAAAACACGAACCTCGCCGGAGGGTCGCCGTACCCGAGAGCGCCGCCGCCGGTAAGCTCCGCTTTTCCGTGATTTTTTGGCCCCCCGAGGGCCCTAGGGTTGTTTTCTGACAAGGACCAATGCGAGTGTGGCCGAATTCGGCCAAAAACGGCCGAAAACAGTCAACCCGAGGCGACTCGCCGCCGCCAGCGGCGGCGCCGTCGCCGGAGCACGGCGGAGCCGCCGTGCCGGAGTTGCGATTTGGGCCGAAAGAGGCCCTGGGCCTAATTTGGATTTTTTTGGAACACGTGCAGGTACTGTTAGTGTGTTTCAGTTCCCCGGAAAAAAATTCAGGGAAAATTAGGGACAGCCTGCAGGCGCACTGTGAATCGTATTCGGATCCCGAAAACAAGTAAGGACCCCTCACCCTATTTCCTATCACGGTATTAAAGTTCAAAATGATAAAACGGTATTTCTTGAATTAACGCATGTGTGAAATTGCTTAAGGTTGCTAATGGAGCCCGAGTCTAGTGTGATTGATGATTTACTGTTATTTGGCCTGTTTACAGCTTTAAATGCATTATGGGGTTTGATGTGTTCATTTTATAGTTTCGAATGCATATATTACTGTTTTATTAATTATGGGTTGAATGACTGAAAAAACTGATACTGTATGTTGTCTGTTTGGTATGAATTACGATTTGCTTGTTTAAATGTGAATTGATGATGCTGATTGAGGAAAAGGAAAATGAAAGATTGTGTAGACTGATAATTGTATTATGGGGGTCAGCCTGACTAGATATCCTGGGAGATGGTGGACGGACCGGGTCCGTAGGGAACCCTACCGGGATTGTGGTCTCACATGCCGGACGGGGTATGGAGATCTTATAGTTTTGGCGCCCATACCGGACGGGGTATGGGGACGGCCCGTTTCACCTTCATACCGGACGGGGTATTGAGGTTCATGGTTTTGGCGCCCATACCGGACGGGGTATGGGGACGGCCCTGGAAACTGATTATGAATGTTAAAGGTTAACAGGTAGCGGAACCCCTATGGACCCCCACGAATACTAGTAGGCTGGTAAATGAGAAAAAGATATGTTGTACAATGATTGAAATTTCAAGGGGCGTAATAAGTGTTATGTTTTACAGCTTATATTATTCAATGATTATGATAATGTTATTGTTTTTCTTATATTGTTTTCATAAATTCCACCGAGGTAAGTGGAGGGTAAAGGTTTTCATGTTTATAAACGAGTTTGTTGTAAATT